TAGCCGCTGCACGTACGGAGGGTGAGGACTTGTAATCTCGCAATTACTAGTTTAAGTTCCACTGTTGTAATTTGTTTCAGTATGAGAGCTGGTATTGAACTCCACAGTTCGTGCTATCACAAGAATGCTGAGTTATGGGCAAAATTCTGACCCCAGGCGAGGCCCACCCGCACATCACGGCTTCCGGGCGGGAGCGCTATCCGTGACGCGACCAGGGCCGCTCTTACCCACTCGGCTTTTATGCTGTAGACTTACAGCACTCACACTCATTAACATAGTGAATGAGGAGACGGCATAAAAGGGGTTGAGCTGAGAGGGTAAAAGCGGCCCTGGTGGCGTAACGGATAGCGCACTCGCCCGGAAAGCGTGAGGTGCGGGTTCGACTCCCGCCTGGGGCACGACTTTTGCCTAACTGGCATTCTCGTGCTTTTGCTGCTATTTCATGTTTTATTGCGGTTACTACTGGGCGTTAACATAGTTATAAGGGGCCATGTGGCGGCAGTAGGCCGCGGCAACTTTGCTCGTTCGCGCTCTTCTACATTTGGCTTTAGGAAAAGGAAGGGATCACTACCGCCTGGCAGAGCGCAGAACCTGAGGGTTGCTCTGTTCATCCCGGTAGCGTGTGCTACAGATTCTATTCCCGCCTAGTGTTAGTGTAATCACAAGAATGCTGAATTATACGCAAAAGTCTTGATCTCAATTCCGGACTCGAACCCGCACCTCATGCTTTCCGAGCAAGTGCGCTATCCGTTACGCCAGCAGAGCCGCTATCGCCCTCTCTGCTCAATAGGACAATCATACTAAAACAACTTCAAAAGATTTGAATCTCTTGCAAATAACTCCATTCTTGAACAAGCCTTTTTTTCTCTATGTAAAATTTGTGAATTCCAGCAAGAGGGGGCGAATACTTTACCGAAGCGATTGCTGATGTGTTAGAAGAGGCTTACCACGGAAGTGGAGATGTTATCACCAATATGAACAGGTTTTGAGGGTTGTTATACTTGTTTTCTTTATTTAATCAGGTTGTTTGATATTTAATTTATTTTGTTATTTGATCTCTTTAGGCTGATCCTTTCAAAACACAGGTTCATGTTGAAACATATTCGTGGATTATGTATATACAGCAGTATGGTGGGAATATTGTTGATGCCATCTTTATTGCTGTGAGTCTTAGCATTCTTTATAACTCTCTATTTCCTACTGTCCTATTGTTACGGGCACGTCGTACATTGAGCATCCCATAGAGGGGGGGGGGGTGGTATTCTGGTCCATGGAGTTACGGAGGGGTCGTATTTGCGTTTCTTTTTCCGTTTATTTTCATGTCTCAAAGTGCTATGCCCCCTCCCTACCCTCCGCTCGACGGCAGTTTTTTTGTGAATGTGGAGGATTCCTGGGGAAAAAAAAGCTCTGGGAAAATTGAGAAGATGGAAAGTACGATGAGGGTTGAGGAAAACGGAGTGTACCAGTGCCCTGATTCCTTATTCGCTCGGCGTTTATACTTCCACTTACGTTTAAACTCACTTATTTCAAGGTGAAAGCTGCTCTAATTGATACAAGGATTACTAATTTGACACTTGTTCCTCAAGATGAAGGCAAGTTCAATATAGAATGTGATGAATCGACGGAGACCAATTTCTTTCAACTGGAAGCAGCTAAGTTGGTCTTTTTCATTTCATTTGTTGTGCGTCAGTTCTTTCCGCGTGTTGTTTCTTTTTTAATTCGTAGCGAACCTTAGTCATCTCGCGTCACTTTGTGTGTACGCCGCTGTGTTTTTTGAATGTTCTATCTTGAAACAAAGCCAACCTTTCGGAAAAAGTTCCAATATTTGTTACTCAAGGAAATCTACCCCAATCTCACTCAAGGAAATCTGGTCTAATCTAGTCCAATACAAAGTAATAAGGGCAACGGATAAAGTCTTCGTCGTTGATCAGAGCTTTCATCATCCCATGCGGGTTTGGTAACAAGTTACCGTCTTCTGAGGGTAGAAGGTGGTTATCCCAGGGGTTTGAAACTCCACTCATATATGGATCGGAAATGG